TGTGTGTTACTGAAATCTGTTTAAAATATAGAATGGAAATACTAATGTAAATAGGATTAATTATACTCAGTGTGTATAAATGGGGAATCCTAATGATAAGCTGAGGACTGTTATGGTATACAAAAATAGTTAAAATACAAGAAGACATCAAAAAACATAAAACAGAAATTAGATGTCAGAAATGTGTTGATTTCTGCATAGTTATTGATTAAGATGAAAGATATATAGCTTCCAATAAAATTAAACACTCGAGCTATAAGGCAATATTGATTTTGGCATGATTCTGTTTATTATCATGTGTTAAACATTAGCGTTTTGTAGATAAAAGTTTTAGGAACTATGCAGAAAAGGAGGGGGAGATTCTTGTAACTTATTTTCAATGATTTCAAGAGTGTAATGAATAATGGTGTAGATTTGTTTGAATATGAATGTGCAGTGGGATGGAGTTTGACCTTCAGCTGTGATTTCAGTTCATCAGGATTAGTCAAGCTAGGCGATCGAGGCTGCTAATGCATAATGATTTATAAAATGAAAAATGTGTAGTGACCATGCAAATGTTTCAGCTAATCAAAGAGAGGAACTTTAGCTTTGAGAAGAAAGAAAAACAAGGGCATGTCAAGGCCTAAACCAAAGACGTATGTAAAATAATCTGAGCAGTTTGATTAGCCAGAGTGAGATTAGAAGTTGCATTTTGGGTCCCTTGAAAGCATATGGTGCAGCGTGTTCTGTAACACCTACAATCTACACTGTTAAAATAACAAGAACAGCTTGCAACTGTAAATAGAAACTATTTAATCTTTTCTAATGTGTTTACATGTAATTAATTGAGAAGTACATGTAAAGCAAGCACTGAAACAGGCAGTGTTCTTCACAACCACAATAAGACATCTGATAATATTGACTTAATTAAAAAAAATTCCCTTTAAATGTAGCAGGCATAAATTGTGCTTCTTGAAGGCAACATTTTGATTAACAATTTATTTTTCACTATTGCTTCGTTCACTACGTTGTAACTCTTACTATTTATTATATTTAAATCTAATATTTTCTTTATAAACATGATTTAGAGTACAGAAAAATATATATTGAAGCTGGCATGATTTGCTGCACATCCTTTGTACAATAAGACAATGCTTCCTGAAATATTTGTTTAACAATGTCTACACTTAATAAGTTTTGGGAGGAAATAGTGGACTATATAAATGTGTCTGTGCGACAAAAGCTAATTTTTTTAGAGAATATTATTCTCTATAATATACCTAGCACAAGGAACTTGATAACTGGGTAAACGTAAATGCATTCTTTATGCCCTTACGTATAACTAAAAGACTGATATTGTAACATTGGAAAGATAAATGTACCCCATTTACTCAGTGGATTACACTTGCTACTTATGAGCAGATTGCCTATAGAGTTTGTGTGGATAAATATAATGACACCCATACTTGCATAATATTTGTATTAGATGATTATATATAGAATTGTAACTCTTTATTGTAATTACATATACTTTTTCTGTTATATTTTTCACTAATTTTAAGCACATTATGCACTTTAATTTTTGTTATTTTAAAAGCAATAAAACATTAAAATAACACATCATTGTACAACAATTTCTCCTCTATAATAAATAATACATAGAGCCAAATGTATGCATATTATTTTATTAATTGTTGTCTTTTTATTAGATATAATGGTATGCTTTTGAATTGTAGCCATTGCCCATTCGGACAAATGGAATGTATGCAGTATTTCTACTTTTCCAACATCAAAAAAGTCATGCATGGAATCCTGAAGTAGATAGGGCATTTTATCATTCTAATATAACATATTAGTAAAAATGTCCATCATTACGTAGCCTACAAGATACAAAGGTACAATCTTCGATAAATCTCTATATAATCCCAGAACAGAAAAAATAAAAAAGGAGAAAAAGCAGAAAAAAGTGCAACAAGAAAAAGAAATAGATGAAAACGGTGGAGGGTAAAAGATGTAAAGACATAAAGTAGTTTCCAATAGTCTTTATAGCAGTTATAAGTATAATTACATTTTAACTGCCATCTCTAAAAGTTACATCACGATTTCTTTCTATAATCTATCTTGCATAATCATCAAAATCATAAATCATTGTGATTGATTTCAATATGCAATGAAAAACTTGATGCAGCCCTTGAATCCAGTTTTAATGTAAATTTGTTTTATTTTACAGCATGGGAACAATTTATTAAGGATTCTATTCCATTAATATACAGTATTTAGTAGAACCAGAATGTGCCTAAGAATATGTAGGACAGTTTATAACTGTGTTAAATGTTAAAAAATTTTCTGGTATTTTCCAGTTTAATCTTTATGCTGTCTTGAATTTGCTGTAGCCTTAGGAAAGTTATACATTCTTAAAGAAATAAGTACTTCCTCACAATATAAAAAGTATGTTACTACACTTACACCTTATATTACGAAAGTTATTTCTTGCATGAAGGAATAAATGTTGCTTTCTTCATTTCAACACAGTTTCTTCTAAAAGGACCAAATTAGATACTTCAGGCCTTGCAGAATTGTTGCTGCAATGCATTTTTTGCTGTAGGTAGAAAAACTAATGAATTCATATTTAGTAGCATCAACTTTTATTTTACAGTTCTTTCTGTTCTCATGATTTGTTTGTCTTAAGAATGTAAGAACTCTGTTCTGATATCTCTGATATGCTTTCATCTAAAATCTATATTGTCTAAAAGATCATTTACAATAGGGTTATACACATGTATTTTTATATTTTGAGAAACAGTCTGGATTCTTTATCCTTTTGTTTTTGTAGTATTATGACATAAATGATTGTACCATATTGAAAGCCTGCCATGTGATTGTCTATTTTTAAATGCTCATTTATCCTACCCAACATTAAAAATGTCTAGCAATAATTCACAAAACATATGAAATGTAAACTTTTGAGCTTGATAAAATCTGATGTGTCTAGAATTAGCGTGCCACAGTTCTGAGGTCTTAAAAAACAGATCAGCATCAAAAAGGGATTCAAACAAAGTTAAATCCATATTTTAAAATGCTTGGCCTATCCCTTTCTTCAAGGCATCTATGCACGTAAAACTGGAAGTTAAGTCCTATTAAACAAAGTGAGACTTTTGAGTAAAGATGACATGGTTCGAGTGTGATGGATTATGGATCTTAGCATACAATTAATAGCAAACTGTTGGTGCCAAGAAGATCAGCAAATTTGTGTGTGTGTGTGTGTGTGTGTGTGAATCATTATAAACTCTGCAGTCCTATTTTATTTAAACTAAAGATTTATTGTTTTAAAACAGATAACAGTATTTCCATTTGTATCATAGATTTTTTCCTACGAATTAATATGAGAAGCTGTGACTCAAATTAAAAGCTAAACTGTTTATAAAAATATTATTAGTCCACCAAGTTTCCTTTTTCTCTACTAAAATATCTGATGACTGTTGCTTCATATTATGAGGCACCTCTCTTATGAAACATTCCTTCCCCTGAAATTAGATTGGCCCCATCACTTTTGATATTCCAAACGGTTCTCACGACCCATGGGAGTAGAGACCTGGCTAGATGGCTCAACGGTTAAAGCCATTTTTCATTCTCCCTTCACTTTGATTGTATTTTGGATATTTAGACTATTGTTATTACAGTTTTTTATATCTGAATTTGCTATTTTTATATTATTTTATCTTTAATATAGAAAAATATGTTTATCTGGGCTGTGCACCACCCAGAGTTGCCTTTAGTGAAATTTGGTTGATACATAAAAAAATAATGTTAATAGTTCATGTTACTCTGATCCCATTCTGTATTATTGAGGGTTGTAATGATAAGAACCACGAAACTTTATAATGTTTTGTCATGAAGTAAGTTGCATCAGTTGCTGAGGACTAGGTCCGTGGTTGCTTTTTTCAAGAGTAGTAATATGCTTGTTGTGTATTATAAGTAAATATAAAGATATGGTGGGTTAAAGATGTGACATATGAATACTTAAATATCCAGTGTTCAAATAAAATATAAAATAAAAGCAGCTAAACAAATTTACCCAAGCAATATAACATCTGCCTCTCTAATATTACAGAGATGATCAGCATTTATGGAATGTTGGAACAGAAATTTCAAGACATTATACTGTTAGTATCACCATACCTGGGTTACAAAGATGCTGATGTCCAGTAGATACTACAAAGATATCTTTGGTGCCATCTAAGGGTTATAGATTTTTGCAACCCAGGTCTAGTGGCCCAACTGTAAAATCAAAATTAACTTTTGTTGCTATAATGTAATTTATAGGATAGACCAGTGGTTCTCAATTTGTGGTTCAAGGACCTCTGGGGGGGGGCACAATATCGTCATGGGGTCCACAAAGGCTTGAAGAAATGTTATGATTTAAATCTTCAGTTAAATCTTGGGGGTTCACGACCATCACAAAATATATTTAAAAGGGTCCATGGTGAAGAAAAGATTGAGTGCTACTGGGATAGATATTATGTAATTTTTTTAAACAGGAAAGAAGTTACAAGAATGCTAAATATCATTTTATTTTCATACATCTGCCAACGTATTATTCTGATTTGTAAATTTTAAAAACGTATTATTCTGATTTGTAAATTTTAAAAAACAAGAGAGAATTTCTAAATAAACATGGACTATATACCTTACCTTCTAATGATAATTACTAGAATGGACAGGCCATGGCACAAACAGGGTTATTTTCAATTAGACAACTGAGTGAGTAGATAGC